ACGGGCAAGGATGAGCCTGCCAAGAGCGACAGGCATCAACAGGTTTACCCGTGCTCAATGCACCATCCTCCATCCTTCCAGCACAGCACTTAGCAGCCTCTTCTGCCACCACGATGCAACTGAAAAGGAGTCCTCAGGATTCATACTCCTTGCAGACTAATCCCAAACAAGGCCTTAAGGAAAAGAATGGACATCATAGACTTTGTTTTCAGTCATTAACTATTTTCAGTTCAGCAAACAAATCACGCCTTCAAACAACAAAACCCTCATTCTGATCAGGGAGAGGTGCATGAAAGCCGTTTCAAGAGAGGGACCTGCATTCAGACCACATTTCTTCTTCAAGGCAACACTGCCATTTACGAATTTTATTCTTAGAAAGTTTATCATCCATTTAGAGCAGAGATTGTCTGGTCAATAATTAACTACAGTAATTAATTGGGATATTTTCCAATTTGTGGCATCCCAGCATATTGCTCCTCCAGGCAATCCACAGTCTTCTAGTTCCTCTAAATCTGAAGTTTTATTTTCTCAGGATAGGCTGCTTTTGCCACTGAAGCCAACGGTAAAATCTCCTTAAAACCGACACTGAACGCCTTTCTACGTAACCGTACGGCACGTTAGTGGATTAGACTTCTTTATGAAATACCACATTTGACTGACCTTCCTGATTTGTCCCCTGCATCTATATTATCTATGCAGAACAGTATGATAACAAAAATATGGTAATCAAATTATCATGGGAATACACTTTCCTCTTAAGATGTTAACAACTATGGGATGTATGTTAAAAAAAAACCAAACAACAAACTAACAAAAAACAAAAACAACTTGCAAAAGAAAATCAAATACAGTAACTAGGCAGAATCAACCCATGCTTTTATTTCCATTGCATATAAAATTTCATATGAAGGTATTGATGTACAGTACTATCCCATAGGCTGCAAGAGAGGCTAAGAAACCAGTGAAAGAATAGTCATGTGCAATGTTCACACAAGTTGCCACTCTCAAGACATACCCAAAGGAAAAATGAAATTAAAACGGTAACAAAAAATTGTTCAGGATTTCTGTTGTTATAGTGTCCCTTTTATACCATTTTAAACAAAAGCAATCGTTTTCCTTTGGGCCAGGGCTGCTAAAATCTACAGTTTGTGTCAAAAAGGAGGTTCCGTTTTTCCTTGAAAAAGAATCTCTCCTTTCACAAAGAAGTTGCGTGCTACAAGGGCTGGGCATCGCTGGAATGGAGAAGAGGTATTTACCTCGCTCTGGCAACTTCATTGATACCAGCTCTAAGTACTCTGGAGCAACGTTGAGAAGTCGAACAGCAAGAGATGCTCAGTCCAACCTGACACCTAATACTAGTGTTATTAAAAGATCGAGAGGTTTACCACTCTCCTGTAGATCTAGTGCATTATGCTATACACGCCTCAGATACATCCATGTAAAATAAAACTTTGGCTGCTTGTAACACTAATATTGGTGCTGGAAAGCAGTTCCAAGATTAAAGTTGTCTTTCATCCTGCTTCATGGATTCTGCTTATACAGTGATTACTTGTGCTACTAAATAAAGAAGGGATATTACAGACGATTGTACAAGTATAAGAGTTACACCTTTTTAATTCCAATTATTCCATTTCCCAATATGCATTAGAAATCAAATGCTTATTGGAGATGCTGCCTAAAGCTGTTTCAGTGAAATTCAATACTGACATACAGCATCGATTTTTTTTTATTTTTTATTTTTTAGGAGCAAAAAATGGCTGCAATTATCCCTGACAATAGCATGTAAAAAGATAATCAGAGAGGCACTACAATTACATTGCCAGAAGACTGGAAAAGCTTGAACTTCCAGAAGAGTCATGAATGAAAGCTCATTGTAGTATCATGCATATTAGCTCATACGAGTATCCCCATAAGTTAGCAACTAAAAATACAGTAGAAATGCCCAGCCCTATCCCCACAGCTACCTTACTTTCAAATGCAGCAAAACAGAAGAAAATATTGTTTAAAGTTAAGGCACAGCCCTGGGACCAAAGACCTGCAGCTTTTTTTATTGATATATCTTCATGTATTTTATACTTTTCTTGAATCTTCCATAAACAAGCTCTAAGGTGACACAGAATATATTACAGGAGGAAAAAATGTACAAGGAATATGTATACACAATAATCATTCTCTCACCAAGAGTTTCCAAATATAGCAACACCACCCTGACGAGGATGATGTTATAATAAGAACTAATAATTTACAATTAACATTACAGTATGTACATTACAATAAATACATGGTTGTAAACAGAGACAAACAAGACTGTATTACAGGTAAGGTCATTTGGTGAGAAAAATGCATGGCACAAATAAAATAAATAATGCATTTTAAAAGAAATGTCAAAGCTTTCTGTAAAATCCGTTTCATTCAAGTTTTTTAAACTTCTGAATGCTATTTGTTCTATCTATATTCTTTCATTATCACTTTTTTAATAATGACACAAAACAATTTAAGAATTAAAATACAGCATTATTGAGTACAGTAACTTGCAAGCTAAAGTGTACTGTTACAAGCAAGGTGAATTTTCTTTTTCCCCCCTGCTCAATACCCACTCACTGCATTTTCTTATGGCAAAAATATTCAGAACACATAAAGCCACTTGTAAATTATATTGTTTTAAAGCAGTGTGCAACGCTAAAACACACTTTGGCAAAACACGAAATAAAGTATGTACAGTGCGTTATATCCCCATCTATAAGAAATGACACAATGTTTTATTTGATTGTCCACATGTATGGGTGTGTATCTCACAATATGGTGTTACTCTTTTCATCTCCTTTCAATTAGTGCAGATACAAAACCTTTTCAGGTCCCTCTTGGTTGTTTTGGAATTTATATTGCTTTTCCATTATTAAAGTTCCAGGCACTCTTGGGGACTGAAAGGATTTTTAGATGGATCAGGTTCAGGAAGAAATAATGAAGAACAAAATAAAAGAGTCAAAACTGAAAAAAAACCCCATGAGTTCTCGTCATTCTCTTTCCTCCTTCAGCATCTTCTGTGCTAAGGCCCTGTCAGGGCTAAAGGTAGAAAAAAAAAGCTATTACCTGGATACAGAAGAATGCAAAATTTCAAAAAGTCTAGATCTCAGACAATTAAACCCCCCTGTATTCATATCTAAAATTTAATACAAAATGAATCCAAAGGGGTAATAATGGCTGTTGCTACCTTTTGTTACAAAATCATCTTGATCTTGTCGTTTTACCAGAATTTTATACAGAGGGAGCCTGCTAGCTTCCCTAGGCAACTATTTCCCATCTTCTATGCTCAAAACGACAATTTTAACAGAGTAAAGCGAAGGAAATAGAAGTCCTTCTTCTTCCGTGTGACCAAGCAACAGGACCAGAAAATGACAAATACAAACTCCAACCTCCCTTTAACTTTCCAAGTTACAGAAGTTTTCAGTACCAATCAAACTGAAAAGCAGTATCCCCTCAGCACAAGCTGGATAAAGGATGAAAAGTTCCGAGATTGAAACAATGTGGAGTAAACTACAACTCTCACAACACATTTACTCAAAAATGCTCCTTTACTTAAAAACATAAAAAAAGACTGACCTGACCTTTCTTGCAACAAATATATGAAAACATAATGCTAATCATTTTTATGTCATACACATCTCAGATTAGCAAACAGTTTAACTAGATAGCTGACACAGATACAAAGTTATTGAGAGTCAAAATTGGAAATACTACACTAACGCTGTTTTTCACCAGAACAGATATTCCATACATCGTATTGGCCTGTTCTGATCTAGCAGTCTATAGCTCCCACCCAAAACTGGTCTGGAAACCATGTTTCAGAGGGACAAATTTTGTTAGTATAGCAGAAGAGCTGCTTTTGTATTACGATGACAATTCATTACCTTTCTTACAGGCTCTAGTCCTGCAAATCCTAATCTTAGTGGTCCCAGTTGGTTTCACTGGGATCTCTTCTTGTAGTAAGACAGAACTGGCAGGATCAGGCCACTATGAGGCAAAAAGCACAACGTAAGTTCCTCTAATATATTTGGAAAAGTTATGATGAAACACAAAAAATTACACTAAAAGAGTTTTATGTAACAAAGGAAATTCATGGAGCTCACTAATGTATAAAATAAGAGACTTTTACAGCTCAGTATTATGATGAGATTTTACAGTGGGAAAAAAAAAAAAGAAGGAAAGGAGAAAAAACCTAGAAGTATTATCCAGTGTAGCACAGATTTGTACTGAAAACTTGAAAGTTAGTCTTTGGAAAAAAAATAACCAGTGGCAGATGAAGTCTGAAAGTGTTTTTCTTTAAATATAATACCTTGGTACATTTAATAGTAAAAGTAAGCTCTACAAAAGAACTCTTACATATTATACAAAATGCAGAGGTCGTGTAACCCAGTAGGTTGCACTTTTTTCAGTCACGTATCAGGAAGACTTGAAATTAGAAAATTATACAATTTCCACAGCTCATCTTCCTATTGGTAACAGAATGGTGTTGTGTCCCGTCATTTATGTGCATTTGTTTTCCAGTAGGAACCTCAGTTTATTTTCTCCTTCCTCTCCTGATGAACATTATCCAATGCTTTGCTTGTGAAATACAACGAACTGAAAAACGATCAAAGCACACCAGCATTCGGTTGGCAGGTGGTACTCCTCTGAAAACATCTGCTTTATTTAATCAAATCTGGCAAATGGAGAGTTTATTAATATGTAGTTTATGGACATTCTCCCCCCTACTTTCTGATGCCATGGAGGTGAAAATTCTGGTTACAATATTCCTGAGTGCCAAACTGAGTCGTCAAGGTCAGTTTTGATCAGCAAACGTCCTGGCAGATGACAGTGAGTTGTGACCATGGTTGTGGCAGATGACACACACTTTGGAAACCATTACCTTAACAAAAACAAAACAAAACAAAAAAAAAACGCAGAGAGAAAGAGGAAAAGAAAGGGAGAAGGCAAGAGAGACAGAGACTGCGTCTTCATTGTTATGTGTGATGAGAACGGTCTTCTACCACACACGGTTCTGTCTGGTTCTCCTCCTCTTCTACTTCTTCCCCTACTTGCTCATCAAGAGGAATTTCAGTGGATTCTGAATCCTGGGTGCAAAGAGTCTTGGAGTCACTGCAGCTGGTGTCTTCTTCTACTTGACTTCCACTGTCCTTTTCCGTGTCTGACTCACCATCTTCCTCCAGTGTTAGTTCAAACTGGAATTTTTCAGTTTGGCCCTGCTTACCCTCTTCCTGGTCACCAGGGGCAGGAGAGGGACTTTGAGGGATTGTGCTCTGGTACCATTCTCGATTGTCCTCCAGTGTATCTAAGATATCCTGGGCGTCTGGGTGAACAAGATCTGCCCATGTCTCCCACAGAGGATGAACAATGTAGTCTATAAAACCCACCTGTTTCAAATAATACAAAACTGGGATCAGTTCTTATACACAAGGAAGTAACTATGCCTGTAAGTCATGCAAAGTATAAGAAATACAATGTTAGTAAGAGACACTAGATCCACCACCCTTTAAGGTGGCTGAAAGGAAACCATGATGTTATGTCATAAATAGTGTCTTTTACATTTTAAAAGTCTGACTCAGGATATTGGGTAAGGACTTGGAAAGGATTTGATTTCAAATGAACTGTTCATTCCAAACAACTCCACTACATCTAGTGAGCCAAACGGCTGCTTTGTAGTTAATTCTGTTTTTGAAGGAAACCCTAATCAGCAGCTGCAAAATACTCTTTTGACGTGTAAGCTTCAATGCAGATCGCGACAGCAATGGGATCCCTTCAGCAAACACGCTGCCGTGCACCGTGTTTTCACAGTAAAAATCTCAGCTCCCCTCACTTACTACTCAGGAGCTGAAGTAACTCACTAGGAGGAAAAAAATGAAGTAAGCGCATTCAGAAACGAATGAAAACATGGCTATAGACATCCTTTCCTGTGTTATTTAACTGTCAACTCAAATCAATTACCTGTGATTTTTCTACAGATGCATTGTGCTTATCACACATGGGGCTTATCTCCATTCCCCTCTCTCTTTCCCGATCTCCCTGGCGGAAAAATTCCTCCATTATTCTGTCTGTCCACTGGCGGTAGAGATGGAGTGGCTTGGTTGGGTTGCTTAGATCTGCACAGTGCACCATATTCTGAAGAACCTAAAATAGATTGAACAGCTGCGGTGTTATTACGCTGGAGAGAACCATTTCCTTTTCCATTTACGCTTTGGGTAGCTGCGAAACGGAACCTTGAAAATACATGTAGTGCAAGATTTATTCTAAACAGCAAAAACTTATGTACTCGGCTGTTTTTCACACTTGCAGTAATAGCCATGAATTACCTGACTTCTGCTGCTTCTGTCTGTATAAGGGATAGAAAATCTTTGAGAGAAAGACCAATCAGGTGCTGATAACTTGAAGGGAAGGCCAAAGCCTCATTTAGTCCAGAAGTACTCTAGCAACCCGTGACTCTCAGAGAGTGTCACGCGGTACCTAACAGAGTATATCACAGGTAGGAAACAAAAGAGAGAGTAGAGGGGAGGTAGTGAGTCATGGTGCAAAAATGGACAGCTGAGCTAACCCATGCTGGAGAATGGCCAGGCCGCTGTTATTAAGGATATAAGTTAATACAAGTGATCATTTGCAGATGAATTTTCTTACCTGAATCCTGTCTGAATAGTTATCAAGAAGTAGGACACCAGAACTGGTCACTTTTTTGGTTTCAACCATAGTTTTCAAATCAGCCACCAGATTCATATGCTTAGACATGTCAGTCGCAAGTACCTTCAAAGAAACAAACAAATAAATAAATGTTACATAAATTATTCTACTGATTAAAAAAAAAAACCAAAACCAAGAAAACTTTGAACACGTAAACAGACAGCAGCTAGGGGAACACCTAATTCCTGTATCTGAATATACTATTTAAGTCTGAGTCCTGTATGTCATTAGCGTCCAAAATAGTACATTTTCATTTCGGTTAATTTAAGAATATGACAGAATCATTGTTCAGAATTGTTCAGAATGATCTGAACAGCCTAAATTCATCATCATTTCAGTAAAAAATTTCTAACCGTGATGGTGAAATGGCCTATGTGTCAGTACAACCACAGCTTAAAGTAGGATTGTACGCCTTCTAAAAAGGTGTAGATGGTCACTGAAATGGAAAAGAACCCACTGTTCATGTTCAGGTAAGACACAATAAAACCTGAAACTTTTACTACATTGGTTATGTGTCTAATGACATGTAATTTATCATATAATGATTCTGTGCTTTATTATTCAATTTGCTAGCACTATAGAAGAGGGACACTCAAATAGAACTCACAATGTCAATGACCATTTTCCTCAATGATTGCCTCTGTTTTTTGGTCAAATTCTGGAAAATGTCACAATTCTCTTCCTGCAGCAGCTTGAAGCCCACAGCTAAGTGATGATTCTCCAGTACTGATGAGTCATTGTACATCAAGGCGAGTTCAGAATCTGCAATAACAATCACAGGGCAGAATGTTACTATAGCCTGTGTTTCCACTGTATCCCTTAGGATTTTTCAAATTAATTACATTTATAACGATATTTACAGATGAACTGTTAGAAACAGAGTTCCTGTAGTTCACACAGTATCCAGTTACTGAATTAACAACTGCACATCTTAACAAATCAAGGCACGGTATGTTGAGGAAAATAAAGAAAATGCTTGACAGTGAAGCCTGTACATGTGCCAGGAGTGGCACATGTTAGAAAAAAATACAAGGAAGGTATTTTTCAGAATACATTTTCTTACTTGCGTGAGGTCACATGGAAAATATTATATGCATAATCACACTTAGACTAAACCACACCCTGGTGTTTTCTCTTTTTATGCCACCATCCCATCACAGCTACTAAAATTCCATTGTTTAAGTCAAGATGCAGCTATTCAGCACTCAGACTCCGAATACCGAGCTAAGGCTTTGCTGCAGGTCAGGCAGAGAGCACACACCTTGGTTTTCAAACCAGGACCATCAGCAGTTAGCTAAAGCACCCAGGTACCTAGCCAATTAGACCTGTGGGTCATTAGTCCGTGACTAATGGATATTTTGAGAGGAGACCGGTAGGATGGTTAACAGTTACACTTCTGGTCTTTTTCTTGGAAGGTCATGTGGCTTGAAAATGCAAGTAGTGACCTTGCTTACTGCCTCATAGTTGAGCGTGGCCAGTGCCTTACGCCGCGAATGCTGCCTTCTCCAACAGCAGTGTTCTTAACTCCATCACTCCCTGCGGCGGTGAGAATAATGTACACCTCCTTAGCAATGGCCGTGTTAAGGCACACATGCAGGGTCTACATTTGTCTGCCTAGACCAGCCAGCTCTGACAAATAAAAGCAGCTGTGACCATTTGCCGCGCAGCTTTACAGATTCTACCTGGGGGTGCCGCACAGTCAGCTTATGCGTGTTTTAAGACACAGCCTGCAAATCAATCTGTCACAAAAAACAAATACTTTTTATGCAATCACACTTGTCATGTGTGATATTAACTTCTATTTATTACAGGTGTTCTACCGTAAATCTAATCTTACATCAGGCTATTCTGCTCTTAGTCTTATCTTCTCTACTTATCTTCTTGTACAATAGCTTTGTTTTAAAATCCTTGTGGCTCAATGGGGTGCCTATAAAAGCTCTGCTCCTTAGATTTCATTAGTCTCATTATCTATTCCCCTGCTGTCTTCCTCTCCTGTCTTGAATACATCGATCTTCTGAATCAGAACACCCTTCGTCTACCTTTCCTAAACCCAATGGCAGCAAAACAAAAAAAAGTGAGTTTGTCAGATGCTGTCTCTCTCTCATCTTTCACCGAACATTTGCGAAGCTTGCCTATTCATTATTTTTCTTACAAAACGACAGGCATTATTTTCCTCTCAAACAGCCTTCTGATAAGCCCCAACTGCGAAACACTCAAGAATGCCAAAACACTTTGGAAAGGCTGGAACTACAGAGGTTAAATATGCCTAACTTTGTAACGGAGGCTGAAATGGAAGAAAGTTCGCCCTTGGTAATCTTCATAACTTAAGTATCAAGAGTATTTGTCTAGAAGGACAGAGTTACAGTGATCAGATAACCGTTTCCTGCAATACTAAACAATCCATATTTGTTTGTTCTTTAACAGCATTCAAGGGGAATCAGATTTTTAGACAACTGTGTAAAACAGACTTGAAAACCTTAAATAGGGAAATAATGTTGTGAAATATCACATGAGTAACTGTAAAGAATATGCTGAAATATGGAAAAAATGTACATACTTAAGTAAGTATAAGTCTATTACGCTTTTTAAAAATAAATTCTTACACTTCTTAGTATACAATGTTAATACATTGTAAGGTTCACTTGAAAACAAAACTAGCTGGAAGCAAATGATCTTCTAGAGGTAAGGAAAACCTAGGTTTTGACAGACCCAAATTGGACAACCTTTGTCTCTCTCTCTGTCCCTACAGTTTCTTCTTTGTACACAGAACAATAAAAAGGGATAAAATCTCTTTCAACTCAGCAACAGCAGTTCCAGTTCATGATGACTGACATGGAAGTCTTCTCTATCAAAAGCTGAGAACTGAGAAAAACAAGACATTTCTTCTAAGCCATTAAATAAGCAGCATTAGAGGCACTCCTAACTTAGCTGAATTTCAACTGTCTGCCTAAGAGTGAAAGTTTTATGTACCACTACTGGTCCCTTCAACTAGCCAGAACAACTCCGTGGTTTCCCTGTAGTACCTCAGAGTCGGCAACATATCCTGATACTCAATTTCCAATTAAACAAACAAATAAAGACTTTACTTATATACACTCTCTCCTAAGAATTTAGGTATTACACTGGTTTGCACACAGAGCTCTTCCTGTATCATGCTACTGAACTCTACTGGTTACCAGTATAGCACCAGAAATCCAGAGCCAATCCAATCTTCCTCCTTGCATATGAATCATCAAATTGAATTTCACTGCAGGGCAGCCCTCAGGCCATTAAGGCAAATAAAATTATAAGCAGGCTAAACTGGAGTGGACGTCTTATTTGAATGTACAACAGCAATGAGTCAGAAGAGGAGTTCCCTTCTTCAAACTACAGCGCTGATTTGGGGTCATGCTATTTTACCACCAGTGCAACATATTCACCCACGTCCAGGAATGACAGCGTCTATAAACATGCAGCCAGATGGGTCAAATACACAACCCTAGGTATGTTTCCATTTCAGTAGCTTTTTCTTCTTCTGTGCTTGGATTATTACTATTATTTCAACTTTTGTACTTCTGAGTCAGTTATTGTAAAAGGAGAAGTTGTCAGATGGCACAAGAAACATCATATGACGGAACCTGCACTGATCTACAACGTGCTACCCACTTAGAACAGTGACATACGCCACTGAAATCAAAGCAGGTTACGCTGGGGCAACAAGCCATTCAGTAAATGTGTCATTACCAGGTTCAACAAAGCTAACAGTGATTTTCTTCTACTAGAAGATTAAAGGAGGGGCAGAGGTTCACACAATGCTGCAGAAAACAGCCGTGAGGAAGGCAGAACAAGTACACTATGTTTCAGATTTGGAGGTGACATTACGGTTCTCATTTCATCAGGGCTTTTTCCTCCACATATGGAATGTCAGCAAGAGTCTCACCACAAAAAAAACCCAAAAAACACCCCCCCGCCCAAAAAAAAAAAAGCAGCAGCCAGGGAGAGACAGAGATGGACTGGTCAGTCTGTCCACTGAAGAGAAACTTGTTTTGTAAATTTCTTAAAAATGATATGACTAACATTGGTTATATCATATGCTTCCAATATAAACCCATCAACTGTTGTCATATTCTTTTAAATTTCTATTTAATCTTCCTTCATTTTTCTCCTACAACTTTATTTATTGAATGTAAAACAAATCATTTCCAGGAGAGTCCATATCCAATTGACTGAAACAGTGCCAGGATTATAGTTCATGTCTTAGTAGTTCTTGCTTGTGCTGGTTTAAGGCAGGAAAGAGTTCACTTTCTCCACAGCCTGCTGGCCCAGGGAATGTTTCATTTCCTAGTATGTCATACTCAGCACACATGTACTAAGTGCACAGTACTTAGGTGGGAAGTGGCCTGGGAGGGTCATTAAGATTTTGGCTGGATCGATAGCTGTGGTTAGCTCTTTTGTTAGCTCTTGGCACGGTTGCTAGCAGTGGGGTGGGTTTGTTCCTCACTGGGCTGGGGGGTCAGCTGGCTTTTTCCCGGTCGTGTCGTTGCCCTTGGGTTCAGACTCTCACTGCTCTGGGACCTGGCAGTGTCGGTCAGCAGGTGGTGAGCAGTTGTATCATTTGTTCTATTTGCTATTAATTCGTTATTAGTAGTTTCCCCCATACAGGCCTGTGTCTCAGCTACAGAATGTCCCAGGAGTTTAAGCAATTCAGAGAGGAGATGTTCTGCTCTCCACTTGCAGAAGCCAGTGTCTCGGCTATCAGGAATAAACGTTTCTCTGCTCAGAGAAGGGAATACAGCAGGTATCCAT